CTTCTACTGTTAAAGTGAATTATAGATATTTTACCGTCCACCTTGACAGTTTTGTTGAATTGATCATCATTATGATAATAGCAGGTATTTTTGATGTTAAAAAAGTTCAGTTCTGGATCAATGTCCTGCTCTGTGAAGTGTGTTTTGTATTCCTTGTTTGCTGGTGAATTTATCTCCTGATTAGCCATCAGCACAGCCTTCCAAGCCCTAGCCAGTAAAAAGTGAACAGCATCACTGATCTAAATTTAAATCGGCAACTGCTGCCCTCAACACTGTAAACATTTGAAAAATAACATTTTGACTATAAAAACAGCAACCATTACATTTGACTGTTAAGTGTTTTCTTGAAAGAAAACTCTATTTTTGATCTGTGTACTGTTGTTTTATAACCTGTTTGAGACAGATGGACCTCTATATAGGATGATTCCATGAATCAGACGTATGTGGACAACCAGCTGTCCAGGGGTCAGTTGACATGTTGTATATCCATGACAAAACTGTGTACCGATTTATCATAAAACAAAATGTGGTGCAGTCTTCTAGCTTTCATTATTAGCGAAGGACTTACCTTTATCTTCCACTGTTAGCTGGGCTAAATGTTTACTTGCACACACTAGTGCAGAAAGTACCATAAAGAACTCATCTCTGCATTTTCTGTTGAAGCATATCCTATTTATTTGCTTTAAGAACTTTTGGGCTACTTTTGGAATATATGTTGGGAACATGTTTTGCACTATGAAGCACTGCCCAATCGGTCTTGGAGCATTTGGCTGAATCTGAGCAGAGATTTCACCCTCCTGCTTCTAACAGCACTCAAATCATCAATAGAGACCAATGATGCAGTTCCACATGTCTGTGCCTTAATTTTACCTTCACTATGTTTTGAAAACTGATGTGGTATATTTAAGATTATAAGCTGTGCTTTTTCTTTTCCATAGTTTTCTCTTCCTACCCTTGATTTTATCTGTCCAAATAATTCTCGAACAACCTTCACTTGATTTAAGGTCTGTACTTTAGTCGTAGCTTTATTGTCTGATTCAAATTCTCGGTGGTGTCCAGAGACAAAAATGACTAAAATGAGTCATTTTCGAAAGATATGGACCGAGCTGTATATGATGCCAAAATGTGTGGCACCAGTAATTAAATTTTCTTATCTACAGACGTTCCAAAAACAGTTGTATTAGCGAGAATGCTACTACTTCTAAAAAGGGGCATCTACATTATGCAGTTTAGAATGTATATTCTGTGTTAGATGTTTGAGTGATTGGGTTAATGTCAGGAGCAAAGCGTAGATCAGTATTGTATTCCAGGTGTTGTTAAGCTTAGTTTAACTTGTTTCATGTCAGGACTGACTTTTTCAATACCAGATAATTATTTTAGTTGTTAACCAAATAGCACAGATAAACTATTTAAACCGTTAGACCAATTCGGTTTCCCCTCTGTTTTCTGGCTTGTTCATGTCTTAGTGCACTGAGAGTCAAGCAATGCCAGGACTGTAACCATCAGAACCTCCTGTTTTTATATAGTTAGTTGGAAGTATATAGAGTGAAGAAGCTGCTCGGTATGGTGGTGGGGATGATGTTTGCTGAGTAAACATACTTGATGATTTGCTTCAATATGAAATATGATGCAATGTAGCTCCACCTTCAGAGGCGCATTATAAAGGAGCTTGTTCCCCAGGTGAATCCTATCGTCTGTAGTGTTAGTCCTCCTGACCAACATGGGGGCCAAAGGGCTTGAATTGATATCATGGCTCATCTATCTGACGCTGATAGTCGACTCACTTACTCAGAATGGTAAATGATGTGCTGGAAATATTAGAATTTCACACTCAATGGATGTGCTATAAGATATTGGGAAGAGGACAGAGAGTCATATTTACTTTGATCATTCATGTGAATCCCAACTGATGATGTAAATTTAGATACATTATATCATGCTTGGGTTGGTTTATATAGAATTTATTTCATAGCTTCAACACTTCAGCTAATTAAGGCATATTAATTAGAAACTGTACTGCAGTTTGCTGCAGACAGTCTTGGTTAAATCTACTGAAGCCATTTCTGGTGTTAAAGAGTACATATGGTTCTGGGATATCTGCAACAGTTAACTGTCTTGGCAATCTTCAGTTTGAGTTTCATATCAGTGAATTGTCAGTTGATAATTTCTAATTTCCTACATCTAAATTAATAAATACCTTTTTTTGTCTTTACTACAGTGACCACTGCTCCTTCTACAAACACACTGACCATGACTTCAGGTAAGTTTGCAAATGTCCAATATGGTTATTTTTTCTTCAGGTCTTCATGTAAATTTAAAACGATTTCTCAAAAAGAATTTGTAATTTATTAATTTATTAATTTATTAATTTTATAGCTAATGCATCCCACATTGGCCGAGTGTGCACAACTTGGGGATACTATCACTTCAAAACCTTTGATGGCGATTTCTTCCAGCTGAATTCGAGTTGTAACCATGTCCTTGCAATACAATGCAAGGACAGCTATGAAAACTTTAATATCCAGATGCGGCGGCGCTTAGTCAACAACATCCCCACAATCAGCAAAATCATCATGATGCTGGAAGGATCTGAGGTGGAGCTCTCTAACAACTCAGTGCTTGTCAATGGCAAGATGTAAGTTCGGGAAAGACCTATCAACTGTACTGACATTTTTCCAAGAATATTTCAGTAACTTTAACTACTATATATTCAGGGGGGTGCAGGAGTCAGAATCCAATATCAAACATAGGTCCAATTGTATCTGTTTACATTATCAGCATTGTACCATCTTAATATGAGATTTATTCTGCTTTAATGACAGCAGCACTCAACCTAAATGTAAGCATCCGCTGCAACCTGCAAATCTACAATATCCCTCCATAGGACACTATCTTGTCCTTTCAAATGCTCAAACAAAGCCCTAGCAATATTCTGTGGCAGTGGGGTTAGGGGTCTGTCTGGTCTGTTAATGACTGATTTGTATAACTAAAGAGCAGCAGTACAAGGGTAATGTGAATTTGTTTTAATTTTTACACTCATTTTTAAAATATCACTCTTTGTTTGCACCAGGGAATCTCTTCCATTCAGTAAATCAGGAGTGACTGTCAAGGGGACCGCATCTAGTATCTCTGTTGAAGCTAATCTGGGAATAAAGGCAATCTGGAACCTGGACGACTCCCTTGATGTATGAAGCCTTCTCTCACATACAAAAATAAATTATCTGACTGGCTGTTTATTGGAGATAAATTATCAGGATTTGAGGAGAGGGACGTCGCCTCCAAATATGCTCCTTCCGATTCTTATCTATATATGACCCCTTAGTTCTACAAGCTGTTTGTTCTGGTTTTCGTCCTGCTATTCAGATGATCTCAGAATGCAGACAAATTGTCATGTGAATGTCCTACTTTAACCTTTTAATGGATTACAAGGAAAGAATGCCATATATTGGAGTTCAATTAATATTGTCCTGTCTTGTGATTTTGCCAGTTACCTATTGTGTAATTGATTATCTTCACAGATTGAAATAGATGAGAAATATCGGACTCAGACATGTGGACTGTGTGGAAACTTTGATGGCATATCCAATGAATTCCTGAATGATGGTAAGATAATTGTAATATTTCAGGAGGTAGTCTAATGTAGTCTGTAGTTATTATAACACAAACTGCAAATAACGTGCATGTACCCTGTAATTACCTGCAGTTTGCAGGCAACAAGTCAGGGTTTTGCAGATTTTTTTTTTTTTTACAATTACACCGTACCCTGTACTTTCTGGGGAGCGGGGTGTATTGTGGAGTCGCTTAATCTCGTCTAACTTCTAGGTATTTTACAGGGACAGAGGTGTAAATTGTACTGTAAGTAATTTTAAGAATCCTGCTAAGTAAATACTGAGTAAGTATTACTTACTCAGTAAGTACTGATTACACAACTAATTTTGTGCCTAATGGATGTTTCAGTATTCAACTCTTTATATATTACATATAAAATGATACATAGATAAACACTTTTCTTCATTTCTTATTTGAAATCATACATTGATATTTACAGTCATAGCATAGGCTCATCTGTGCCTATAATGATGGAAACAATGTGAGTTGTTTTCATTAAACTTTAATTAAAAACAAGGACATGAAACTATTCCTTAACCCTTAAAATATTAGCTTTAGAAATACATTAGCAGACAAAACAATACTTACACCCTGAAACACATGATATTTGCAAGTTTTTTTTCTTTGTGAACAAATGTCCAAAATGACCTCAGACTGTTAAAAATTAAAAGTGTGGACATGGCTTTTGTGTATAATATTTTACAAGACAGCAAGACAGATAGTGCAATAACTTCCTAAATATATAGTTTTTAATGCATTGCACACACTGTACCTCAACAGTGATATGTGACAGGGTTGTCCTGTTCACACTGTCATACTTAAGTGTCTCTTGAACAGTTTCCCAGCTTCTGGTGTCTTTTCATAATACATTTGTACCTGTGCATTAAGTGATCAAGGGCAGTCTCTAAAAGAAGAAAGACAAAATGAACACATTCAGTCTGTTTAAAGCTGCGTTGAAATGTCTGAGTATAGTTAAGGTCCAATTATTATCATTTTTTAAACAAAGCAAAGACATGTACATAAAGTTTTAGCATTTTACAAACAGGGGAAAAACATTGCAGACCATTAGCTAGGAAAACCACACCTACTGATAACGCCGCTGTTCTGCTTCACGGTCCTTCCAGATCCTACAATGAAATAATCAGGAGGAAAACCATTTTGAGAGAAAACCAAACAAGAAAATAAAATAAAACAAGAAAATATTTTTTTTGGAAAGAGTGATTAGGGTGACATATAGGATAAGATAAGATAAACCTTTATTAGTCCCACACTTTTTGTTTGGTCATGGCAGAAAGGGGACAGTACAAAGTTACAGCAAAAAATAAGAAAAACAATAGCATGGAATAAGATAAAATAAAATAAAACAACATACTATATGAAATAAAATAAAATACTGTGTTGCATTGGGAAATTACACTAGTATTACATAAAAATATATATAAATGACATGGTTGTCATTTCTACACACCTAAAAATGAACACATAACCTTTTTGAAATAAAGTAAATAAACTAGGTGGAGCATTTATTTTTATGCTTTTTATGCATTTATTTTAAGGTGTTGTTTGAATAAACTGTTCTTATAAATACAAAAACTGTAAATACACGTAAATGCCAATTTTTGTATATTTTTTATTGTATTTAGGTGACTAAAGAAAGACTAATAAAAGAAGTATTAAGTATTGATTAACACATTTCCTACAGGTTACCCGCACTTTAGTCGCAGGTCTTACAGTCTATAATTGTGTCATTGTTTCCTGCAGAAAGAATGACTTGTTGCCTGCAAATTGCACGTAATTACAGGGTACTTAAGCCTTATTCGCAGACCGTGTTCTAAAATGTTCTAAAATGTTCTAAAATGTTCTAAAATGTTACTGTCTATCCACAATGTGGATGTGAGAAAACACAAGGGGGGAAAACGTTGCCCCACTCTCAAGTTGTGGAGATCAAGTGTCCTTAAGCAAGATGGACATGCTCATAAGGCAGAGACGTTACACTTTGTGAGCATGGAATAAGCTGAGAGAGAGGAGAGAAATAGCCTTTTTTTGTCCCTTTTAATGATCTCTAGATTTGACAAGTCAGTCACTGTTCACCTTGCTTGTCCTGAGAGAACACCACTGGTTTCTTTTAATGTTAGCAGCAACTTTTCAAAAAAGTTCACAGTCATTCAGAAGTAAAGACAGGGAGGAGCTCCACTCTATGAAAGACTACAAAGGCAAATAGTTCAACAATTCTCTGTGCACAAATCACAGTCAACAATATTGAATAGTTGCGATCTTCAGCCCCTTTTCAAAAGCGTGCACACTGAAAATAGGCATAATTGTGTAGCAGAAATGATTGCATAGGTTTTCAAAACCATTTGTCATTGACCACCATTAGTTGCTGCATCCATAAATGTAATTTTAAAGGATCCTGAAATGCTTCGGTTTGATGAAAAAAAAAGTGAATTTCTTTTTGAAAAAATCTACATGGGGGTTAGTGCACATTGGAAACGTCTTAGCTTACACATCTACGAGGGCCCCTATAATAGTGAATTATATTTATTAGATTTGGAGCAACATATACTGTCATTCAATTAGCATAATTTTCCCCATTTTTAAATAGCATAGATCTGTACTGAAAGTCTAGATGCAGACCTGTGACCTTTTTGGTTCATTATGAAATAGAATACGTAATGAAGAAGCCCCCCAATAAGCTTCATGATCATTTTATTGTGACTGTGCTGTACTACAGGAACCCCAGTGTCTGTGGTGGACTATGCTGAGACCTGGAAGATAAATGGCCCCACAGAGTACTGTGAGGAGACTGACATCAACCCAGTCCCGAGCTGTGGTGATAAGGTGAGTCTTCACTATTTCTCATTTTCAACACTGTTAAATTAAATTCAGTTTTAATTATACAAAATCAATAGGTGCTTTATATTGTAAGTTTAAGAGCCTACAGTAATATGGAGAAACTCCAATAATCAGATGACTGCCTGAGAGCAAGTACTTGGTGACAGTGAGAAGAAAAAGCTCCCTTTTTAACAGGAAGAAACCATTAGCAGGGTCAGTCATCCGGCCTCACCTCGGGGGTGAGGGGCAGAAGACGACATAAAGACACACTGTGTAAGAGGGCTCAGGGGGTTGGGTAGCGCATCTGTAACCGGAAGGTCGGCGGCTCAATCCCCGGGCTCTCTGTCCTGGTCGTTGTGTCCTTGGGCAACACACCTTACCCACCTGGTTTTGGCCCCGATGGCGCGATACGGCAGCCTCGCCTCAGTCAGTCTGCCCCAGGGTAGCTGTGGCTACAACTGTAGCTGCCTCCACCAGTGTGTGAATGTGAGAGTGAATGAATAGTGGTATTGTAAAGCGCTTTGAGGGCCCCGAAAAGCGCTATATAAATCCAATCCATTATTATTATAAAAACATAATGGGTAAAAGAGGTGAGTGCGGAAACAGTGTATCATGGAAAGCCACCAGCAGCCTAGGCCCAATGCAGGATAGCAAAGGGAAGATTCAATTTTAACTTTGACTCTGGATTTAGCAGGGAGCCAATGAAGATAAGCTGGTATTGGAGAAATATGTTATCTGATTCTTTACCCTGTCAGTACTCTTACTGCACTGTGCGTGAACTAGTTTCTATCTGAATTGAGAAGCAGGAAATTAGAGGTCATTAAGTTCTTTATATCTTAAAGACATTCTTGTAGTTTAACTAATGCTATCTTCACTAAAACTGTTACTGTGATGACAAGTAGTTATACTATTTATACAGTCTACAGAAAACAACAAATAAACATCAAGGTTAAAGTGCCACTGTGAAACATTGCAACATGTTATATATACACCTGTGATTAAAAATACAAAGAAAAGTAAAAATGTAAAAGCAAAACAGTAGCAGTAATACAGAGACTATTTAAGAGAGCAGTGCAAATCAGTGCAAATCAATAATATAAATGCATTATAACACAGTATAAATCTAAGAACAATAGCTGCATTAAAGACATTTGTGTGTTATCATATGCCTGACAGATGTTGTCACCTGGCACAGAATGAAGAGTTATTATACAGGTTTATGAAGGATTGTAAAAATTATTTCGTGGGTTGAATTAGTCTGTGGGAGAAGGTCTGCTGGGTTAGGGTTAAATAAACACACTCTTACTACTATACTCCGCACGTCTGAGGCAGCTGCAGTGCAATATTAATAGTATTATAGTATATAGTATATATATATATACATATATATAGTATTATAGTACTCATACCCCTTAAACTCTTGGAAATGTTGTACCTTACAACCACAAACCAAAATGTTTTCATTAAGATTTTCTGTGATAGACCAATACAGAGAATCTCATAATTGTGCAGTGGTATGGAAATGATGCACGGTTTTCAAAATTTTAAGCAAATAAAAATCTGAAAACTGTGACATGTTTGTGGTTGTAAGGTGACAAAAATGTGAAAAAGTTCACACTTTTTCAACGCACTGTTATTGTAAACTCAAACAGATGTTACCTTGCTACCTTGAGGGTTCAAACTGTAGGCTTCTAAAAATGATTGGCAGTATGTATTTTTTTAACTGACTGACTTCTTTTTCAGCAATTCTGTGACCAGACTTTCTCCAGTGATCCCTTTGTTGATTGCCAAAACATTCTTGACGTGGAATCCTTTAGTAAAGCCTGTATGGTGGACACGTGCAACTCTACAGACAACACTACTTTTGTCCTCTGCAAAACACTTTCAGAGTTCTCCAGACAGTGCATCCATGCAGGTGGCAAACCCCAAGAATGGAGGAACGATACATTTTGCTGTAAGGGTGCAACATTTACAGTTCTGGGTCTCCATCATAGGCAGTGTTTTTTCCTTATACTTTGCAAAATTCTTTAATTGACATTGAAAAACTTTTGTCCACAGACAAGAAATGTCCATACAACATGGTGTTCTTGGAATGTAGCAGTTCATGTCCTGACAGCTGTTCCACCCCTCAGGCCAGCCAGACATGTGACAGCCATTGTCATGATGGCTGCAGCTGCCCTGCTGGTATATCCACACTCCTTTTGCACTCCATCTCTTGCTTTCTGTCTCTCAGAGAGAAAACAATTGCAAAGTATTCTGGGCAGTCGCAGCCAGGTTGTTCACACAAAACTAAAACTGCATAATTCGGATCTCAGATGTCGGAACTCGGGAGCCACGTCGCTCCTGAGTCAGCACATCCCTTTAATGAAGTCAGAAGATAAAAAAAAGCAGGGTTTGTTTTGCTTCTTGGATTGAGCCATTCATGCATCACTAGCAATATAGCATAATACCTCTTTTGTGCTTAAAAACACCATGGTATCACATTTATGATAGAACTTGATAAGCACTCTGTGTATGGATTATTTAGCAAGTCACAATTAGATACCAGTGGCAGTACAGATTAAAAGTTTCACCACTGTTTATGTTCACTGCCACCATCTTTGATTTTTAACTTAGGATTGGTAGGGTTGCTCCAATTTTTTATTTTTTTATTTCTTTGTTTTGAGTTTTTGGATTTTCTGAGTTGAGGTGGCATTCCAGATAAATATTCTGACTGGGAACTTGAAATACAATGTACCACACATATCCAACAGATAAAGATTGTTTTATGGTCCCACAATTGTGTCCATCGGCAGACACGATTTCAGTAGGACAGAGAGGGGAGAGAGTTTCGACCACACACTACTTTGCATTCTGCCAAATGTTGATTGGTTGACAAGTGGACCAGAAGAGAGAAGGGGATGACAACAGTAGAAAAAAAACAACCCCCCCTACATGTAGTGATATTTGAGACCTTTCCCAAATAGCAAAATTGGTATGGTCCCGATCTGGCCCACACAATTTGCTTACACTTGACCTACATACCACAAAGAATGACGGCCCTTTGGGGGCCCAGATCTGGCCTACACATGGGCCAGCACAAGGCCAGTTGCAGACACACTGGTGGCCCTTTGCTGGCCCATGTGCAGATGAGTAAACCCTCACTAGGTTTTGGATAAAGTGTAAACTCACAAATCTGTCAAACCTGCATTTGAAACGTCGGCTACCATAGTAGTATAGTATTGCAACATGGCATTTGGGTCTTCTAACTAAAATAGGAAAACAGAAACATAAGTAGTGCATCATTGCCAGACCTGGCCCACATCTGGTTGACATACACCCTGCCATAACAACCATCGGTCAGAAGTGCCAGCTTGATGCCGGATCCCGGCCAGAGCTGTTTTCTATGGGCCTGGGCCACATAAACCAAACCATAATCGGGCCAGATATGGCATGCCATCACATAAAGAGTGACGTCGTTGCCAGACCTGGCACACATCTGGTTGACATACACCCTGCCATGACACCACTCAGTCAGAAGTGCCAGCTTGATGCCGGATCCGGGCCAGGCCTGTTTTAAATAGATAAATATGAAGGCATGCCGGCTCGGACGACGCCCGGATCAACAAGGTCCGCGTCAGGTGTTGAGGAACCAGGGCACCCTGACGAGAAGTGGGCTACTGGAACAAGAAGGCATCGGTGGGCAAGAGACGAAAACAGGGCGTTGTTGGAATGCTACTACGCAAGTAACCCTGGTGGAAGGGGTTACGTGAATAGGATGACGGACCTATGGATATATATATATAAATATATATTTTTTGCGTCTCTTTCTCAGGGATGGTCTTTGATGACATTGGTAACAGCGGATGTATCGCAGTCTCTCAGTGTCCATGTCTGCACAACAACGAAATCTACAAGCCAGGAGAGTCCTACTCGCACCACTGTGGATCCTGGTAAAATGAATTTGTGCCACTTTGTTGCAGAGTTAAAAAAATGAAAATAAAACATTTTTATTGTGTATGTGATACTAGAAATGGTAAAGACATGAATCTAAGAGTACCTTTGATAGGATGATTAAGTGTTAAAGCCATTTCTAAGTTACACAATTACAATCTCCCACAAAATTATTGTGTACGTCGGAGGTACTGCAAGTAAGAATGTTTTAGCAGTCTCCTCACATTTACAGTTTGTACATTTATGTGACAATTTTACCTTTTTAAAGTTTTACAAACGTTAGTGAGTTTATTTTAAGACATAGTAGAAAATGTAATGCAGTGTGTTACTAAAGCAGTTATATGAATATTTGACCATATTAATAATTTTTAATACATAAATGAAATGTGTGTGTGTCTTGACAGTGTATGTGAAAGCGGTCAGTGGAGTTGTACAGAGACAAACTGTCCAGGAATCTGTTCTGTCAAAGGAGGAGCTCATGTTAACACCTTTGATGGAAAAGTCTACACATTTCATGGCGATTGCTCCTATGTTCTAGCTAAGGTGATACTCACTGCTAGTCCTTCTCCACATACACATAACAGCAGCATCTTAAACCGGATGCACCATCAGAAAATAATATGCTAATACAATAATATGATTTGAGTACATACATGTGTAGTGTAATGTTGTTTTTTTTTGGTGACTGATTACATGTTTTGTTTTGATGTGCGCTGCAGGACAGTAATGGTTTGTCCTACACTGTGCTGGTGGATCTGGTCAAGTGCGGGCTAAGTGACACAAAGACTTGCCTCAGAACTGTAACTTTGGCCTTAGGCAGCAATTCTGTGGTAAGCTGCAGGCATAAAAACACCATCATTACTCCTTGTGTCTGAAAAAAAATCCAGATCTCACAAAATCTGGTGCTTTTTCTCACCAATAAGAATTTGCAAATCCTGGTGTGTCTAAAATGTGTCTTTCTGCAAAATGACAGGTTGTTAAAGTTCAGGCATCTGGGCAGGTCTATGTGAACCAGATTAATTCTCAGCTTCCACTGTTTACAGGTAAGTTATCTCACATTTCACTGTCCACATATAGTAAACACATCTTCTTAATATAATGATCATAGTCTATGTATGCACATTTTCCTCAGTAATAAATGTTTTTAAAAAAACACCCATTCATCCATCCGTTTTCTTCTGCCTCCTGCCTTCTTCTGACCCCGGGTTGAGGGTTTTCCTGTCTAAGCAGAGAAACCTAGGCCTCCTTCTCCCTATCCCCCTTCTCCAACCTATCTAAAGGAACGCCAAGGTGTTTCTGGGCCAGCAGACAAATGTAATCTCTCCAGTGTGCCTACCCCATCAGCCTCCTGCCAGTAGGGAGCCCAGCCACTCTTTGGAGAAAACAAATTCTATCTGCAGTCACATTCTTTTGTTCACTACCCAAAGCTGGTGACTACGGGTGAGGGTAGGGACATAGATCAACCAGTAAATCGGCAGCTTTGCTTTCACACTAAGCTCTCTCTTCACCACGAAAGACCGGTGTACTGCAGCGGCAGCCCGCTTCTCTCTGCTTCCTCCAAAGTCCCCACAGGCTAACCTGTGGACACCTTCAGCTTGAAAGCTCCCTTTGCTCAGGTGTCTACAGTCTGGCTAAAGGATTACCACCATGACAGGCACCACCTCGCAGCTGCAACTTTTTGCAGCAGCCTCAACAATGGAGATGCTGAACATTGTTGATTCAGACTCAATGTTCTCAGCCTACCTTGGAAAGCTGCCACCTCACAGACAGAGCCTTCTGTCAGGCAGTCCCAACGCACCCTCACTATAGGTTTATTAGAAATCCAAGTACTTATATAATCATTTAATGCATTCTTTGTTTGATTTTGTTTTATGTGACATTCAATTTGTCTTACTTGACAATTTATCACAGGTAAATTGAACGTGCTTGAACGTGACTTTCAATTTACATAAGCTAAGGGCCAGCAAAATTAGTATTCGCAAAAGAATTTTGTTCAACTCACTACAAAATATGTAATAAAGAATTGGAACAAAAGCACCACACTCATTAGTTGTATTTATTTATCTGCGTCATTGACGTTTGTATGTTTGTGTTTGAATTAATTGCTACATTTTTCATGTCTTCTGACCTCTACAGCTGATCTGAGAGTCTTTAAGCCATCTTCCTTCTACATCCTTGTAAGCACCACAGTGGGCATACAACTGATGATTCAGCTGTCTCCCATAATGCAGCTGTTCATTTCAGCTGACAGGTCCCTCACAGGAACCACCTCTGGTATGTCTCCACGTTATTGTTAGTGTCTGGAACGTCTGGAATCTGTGTAACTGTGGAGCTTCTTATTTGAAAGGTTTATGTGGAAACTTCAACGACATCATGAGTGACGACTTTAGAGTGACAAGTGGGCTGGTGGAAGGCACTGCTGCTGCATTTGCAAATGCATGGAAAACCAGAGCCAGCTGCCCGGACATTATATCACATTTTGGAGACCCTTGTAACAACAACATCCTCACAGGTACAGATAAAACTCCTGTATTATTATGTTTTATCTTATAAAAGTTATTATGTTATATGAAAAATACCATACTTCCTTGCTGTTTTTCAAGATTTTATTGAACAACAGATGATATATAACAAGTTTAATTCTGAATGTTTCTGTGTTTTAGAGAAATATGCTGATTTCTGGTGCTCCAAATTAACTGATCCCGAGGGAGTGTTTGCTCCCTGCCACGCTGTCGTTAGCCCCAGCACATATAAAGATGTAGGTCTGTACATGCAAAGTTTTAATGAGAACTTTGCAGCTGAACTCTTGTTAATCGTTTCACGAATACTCTTTTGACAGAACTGTATGTATGACACCTGTAACTGTGAAAAAAGTGAGGACTGCATGTGTGCAGCAGTTTCCTCATATGTCTATGCCTGCTCAGCAGCAGGAGTCCACATCAGTGGCTGGAGGAAAACCATCTGTGGTAAGTAAAACACTAAGCATCCTTGAAAAGAGAAACACGGGTTCAAACAACAAATTTATCTGAACATGTTCTCTTTCAACTGCTGCTGTGTCCACAGGCATGATTTTACATTTAAAACATAGGACCATTTGTCTTCTTCTTCTTGACATGATGTGCCAATGCTCGCTGAAGCACATTGTGTTTTTAGTGAGGGGGTTTTCTCGACAACAGGACTGAACCCTTTTGTTTTTAGATTGGCCCCACAACCCAATTTTTAATTCAATTTAATTCAATTCAGTTTTATATTGTAAGTGCCAAATCACAACAAGAGTCACCTCAAGTGCTTTTTATTGTAAGGTAGACCGGATTGGAAATGAAAATCCTACAATAATACAACAGAGGACAAAATAACAATCATACGACCCCCTATGGGCAAATGCTTTGGCGACAGTGGGAGGGAAAAACTCCCTTTTAATAGGAAGAAACCTCCAACAGAACCAGGGTCAGGGAGGCAGAGCCATCCGCCGTGACTGGCTGAGGTGAGGGGAGGAAGACCGGACAAAAGACATGCTGTGGTAGAGCAGCAGAGATTGATGATTACTAATGATTAAATGCGGAGAGACCCACTGTCATGTCGAAGAAGTCCTTGGTCCTTATTTTTAAAAAAGTATTATGATATGAGTTCTGGTTTTGTATTTGGAAGCAGTTTATCGACAGGTTCAAAAAGGGAAATGTAACAGCAATTTCCCACAGACTGATTCTATACCAGCAATCAATGTATGAGAATAATTGGTCATTCTGATTTGTTGATTACACTTTAGGTCTATTTTTCATTTGTGGATTCGAATTTCATGAAATTTGAATGAGCTCTTCATTGACTGGATCATTAGAAATGTTTTAAAACTTACTTTAATCAGTCCTTGTCTTTAAATTTTTGTTTAAATATCATTTCAAGCACATCAAATAAAGAGCTTTTTTTAAAAAATAAAAACCCTCAAACATGTGAAAATATGCTGGCTTTTCATTTAAGATCCTTGAGTCTAATCATTAAGTCATCTACAGTTTTTTTAAATTCACTTCTTAAATGTAATAATGCAATGTATCAGTTTTCGCATCAATTTCAGATAAACATTCATTATTTGTCAGCTTATTTGGATATATTCTTCAGCTTTCAGCTCATCTAAAAACGGTCAGCCTGCCAGCTTCAACGATTTCAGCAAAGATTGAGCAGTTACAACAATTCAACTCAAACAATTCAGTTTTCAGCATTCATACTGCAATTGGAGTACACTTGTATGTAAAATAATCGAATAATCTGTGCTAAATCAACAACGTTAGTGCTAAACTCACAGGAATATTGTACCTCGATGACCATGACAATTAAATGTGTCAGAGCCCCTGTAAATTAAAGTCAGCAGCAGCAGTCACAATTTGAGGAAACTCTAAATTCTTTGGGTTAATATAAATGTTATTATTACCATCACATTGTCAGCATGGGTCAGCTGCTGACACCATGTCTGTGTTATGGTGTTAACCCACCAGACATCTTTCCATGCCATTCGTACTACACGAACAGTTCTTGTCTCCAGTACCACAGCTATGGCACATATTTTGGTATCTATTTTAAATAATGGCAGAAGTAGCAGGTCATTTGAATACAACAAATCTTACTAAATCATCTGTGTTTGATTCATTTTTGCAACATTTGAATTGAATTAAATTGAACTGAACTGTTGGCTCATTGTATAAACATCTCATATCTCTCATAACAGAGACATTCAGCACATCATGTGCAGCAGAAACTGTGTATAACTACAACATGACCAGCTGTGGGCGTACCTGCCGTTCCCTCGGCCAGACTGACTACTCTTGTCAGGTCAACTTCACCACAGTGGATGGCTGTGGCTGTTCTGAAGGAACTTACATGAATGAGGAAGGCCAGTGTGTAGCCCGTGAAAGCTGTCCCTGCTATGCTGAAGGCATTATTGTTCCTCCTGGACAGACTATCAGTAAAGATGGCAGCACATGGTAAATAACGCCGACTAATTTTTCTTAATTCATGCTGAATCATTCAGGTGAGGAAATTTTCAAAGGTTGATTCTGTTCTTCTGGACATGTTTTCAGTGGAAGAAATATTTTGTCACTCATCCGAGTAACTTCTTCAGTCTCAGCTGACTGCAGGTTTAGCAATGTTTGCTACTTTTAGTCATAATGCAAATGTGCTATTTATGTTTTTTCCAGTCCCCAACTCTCTATGGATAGTACTCATGGCCATTATGATGATTTTGCATCATAATGGCCATGAAATTGACCAACTGACCATTCTTAATCAGCGGTGCTAGAACAGAATCAACTTTCTTGGATTTTTATGTTTACCATCACCAACCTAAAATGTTCATTTGCTAAAGTTAATTTGCTGTAAAAACAAAGTGAAGCTCAGCTAATAGATTTGTATTCACTTAATATGACACGTGTTAATGGCAGGGACGTGTTTGCTCCGAACAAAACAGGAGGATTAAACGAATATTGAACTGGGGAACACAGGATGCTGGAAGCCGTATTCTGTATATATACCAACTACAAAGCATTGACTTGCAAGTTAGAGGAAAAATGTTGTTCCATTCTATAAATTCATGTTGTGAATGCACCAGTACAACTAGGATGTTTTTTGCCCATGAACATTTTAAATAACAAAAAGAATAATAAGAAACTACACGGTTAAAGAATGACTGAGGATATTATGTCATATAAAAGTATTTCTCATGTTCCCTCATAATTGTTCTCACAGTGTCTGCAGACAAGGCATTCTCAGCTGCTCTGGAGGAACACAGCTACTAAGTAGGCACCGTAATTAACATTATGTACACAGATTAGATGCTATTGTCGTTAATTTGTTTGATAAAATTAGTAGCCAAACATCTTCAGTTCTCTTTCATATTATGAAGTTTTCACTCAGTGAACTGTAAATAAATTCACAATGACAATAAAACTATGAATGTGAAGCTGTTATATTTTGTTCCCAGGTTTACCATTAGGTTCACCACAATGCGAATATCCCATGGTGTACTTTGACTGCTCCACTGCTCAACCTGGGGCTACTGGCACTGAATGTCAAAAGAGCTGCAGCACCGCTGACATGGCTTGTGTAAGTACAGCACAGTTGTGCCAGTTTGGCTGTGTGCTTAAATGTGCAGTACATGCACAGGTCTTGCTTGACTTACTCTCTCCTTTCATTTTTCACTCTGGTTGGATACAGATCCACACAGGCTGTACATCAGGCTGCATGTGCCCAGATGGGCTCTTGTCAGATGGAGCAGGAGGCTGCGTCAATGAGACCAGCTGTCCATGTGTGCACAATGGACAAGTCTACCAGCCTGGAGAGACACTGACAGTGGATTGCAATACCTGGTTTGTACATTTCTTTACAAGCATACAAAGATGTATATTTAAATATTCAACAGCAGTATATAGGTTATAAGAAGAATTTATACATATTTCCACTACAATAAAGAACGTCAGTTAAATAGGTGACTTGTTTCTCATAGTTCTTGTTTGAGACACAGCCGCCACTGCTGCCAAGGCTCACGTGTCAGAGCAGGTTTTCTACCAATCAAAATATCTGGAGATCAATCCAATCAAAGAATCTTTGGGGAAAAAACCCAAAGATACTGAACCCTGAGTTGCCCCCAGTGCATTCAGCTGAGGGTGTGTTAATGCTGGATAAATGAGTTTGGATATAAATAAAAAGCACTGCATGAATGTTTGCGTGATAAGGCAATGCAAGACTGAAAAAGCAAGTTGTACTAAAATAACAGCTGGAGAAACATTTTGCAAATAGGTCGTTTAACTGGCAACATGTCACTAACATGCTTAAAATGAATAATAAGAAACTACAAAAGTGGAAAACTGTTCTGTTGTCTGATAAATCAAAACTTCCAATTCTTTTGTTTTCCACAAAATAAAATGGCTACTGTCTTCTTCACACTAGAGGCAACTAAATTATCAGGACTCAGTCCAAATGCCTTCATCTCTTAAAAAAACAAAAAAACAAAAAGATGTCTTTTTCAGCAAGACCTTGCATATTTCAGCAAAACAATGCTAAACCTTATACTGCATCTGGAACAACAGTATAGCTCTGTAGTAGGAGGCTCTGGCTACGGGTCTAGCCTGCGTGCATTCCAGAAATTACACTTGAAAACATGAATGAAAAATATGACAAAGAAAATCCAAGATTGTTGAACTGCTAGAATTCAATATCAGACATTCGTCCTCCAAAAGTCCAAGGGATGGTCTTGGTTCCCAGACATTTGCAAATTGCTTTTAAAAGAAGAGGGGATGGATGATACACAGTAGTAAACAACACTCTGTCCAAGCTTTTGTGCAACGTGTTGCTGCCATCAAATTTAGAATGACCTTTTCATTTATTCAAACATTTCATGTTTTCTATGGTCTACTGTGAAAAAGGTATGACTTTCTGAGATTTGCAAATCATTTTTATTTACATTTTATTTACGTTTGCAAGGTGTCCCAACTTTTTGGGAGTTGGGTTTCTATTATAAAACTTGTTTACTAAATAAAAACGTCACTATATTTTCACTATTCAGCTATATTTGGGGTTTAAATGATACAATTTGGCAGTGTTTTCACCAAATACACTGTACTTTTCAAATGTTTGAATAGAAGAAGTTGTTTTAATTATATTTGTAAAAACATAAAGCTAGGTAGTTAATTAATCACCAGCGGGTTTTTTTGTGGGTTTTTTTTTTTTTTTTGTATTTTGTATTCTTGATTACACAGATATTACAAATATTTTGAAATTAATTTAATAGTTTTTGTCGGCTGTATGTGTTTCTCCCCAGTTCCTGCAGTGGAAGGAAGTTCACATGTACCAACGAGACGTGTGATGCTGTTTGTGGAATCTATGGAGATGGTCACTACGTCACCTTTGACGATAAGAGGTTCGACTTCAGTGGACAGTGCGAATACACACTTCTACAAGTAAGGTTGCTAAAAGTTAAAAATGAAAACTTTGTAGCCTTGGTAGATTTGGCAACACACTGTTGTACCATCTTTCTTCTGCAGCTCTTCATTGTAAAGCTCACTCTGGCTACTGTTTCTTGTATATTATTTTACCAGAACAGAAAGAGGCACATCAACATTTTTATCAGTAAATCGATTTTATGCAACTCTTAAGGATTCTAACTTTAACACTGGTATCCAGTAATTGCATGCACTGTGCTTTGCTCAGGACTTCTGTGGCACCTATAATGGCAATGGAAGCTTCAGAATTATTACTGAAAATGTTCCATGTGGAACAACAGGAACCACCTGTTCTAAGACCATCAAGATCTTCTTGGGGGTAAACACAAAATCCTTCAGTTGTGCTCATTTTCAAAAATAATGACTGCAAAATGTAGAGTGAATGTAGAGTAAAATGTTTTAAGAACTCTTCACCAACAATATTAAAATTGCACAATTAATACTAGAAAAAGAAACTACAGAATCAATTAAAGGTTGTATAATTTAACTGTTTTTAGATTCAATTTTTTTGAAATCTTTTGAAAAAACAAAAGAGCTTTCAGCTTTTCAGGTTTGTTGCACATATATGGTTTCCAGGTAGCTTAAATTCTACAAAAATAAAATTCCTGTTTTATTCATTGCTGTTGTAACCCACAGGATAATGAATTCCAGCTTAAAGATGACAATTTACAAGTGGTAAAGGGCACTATCCAGGCGCTTCAGGTACAAAAAATGGGCATTTACATAGTGGTGACAATCAAGCCTGGACTTGTTCTCATGTGGGACCAGAAGACCAGTCTTTTCATTACAATCAGTCCACAGTTCCAGGTAAAAGAAATAAATTCTGCACATCTGGATTGACAGTTACTTCTTTTTACTGTTGAAGTATAATTGCTTAAGAAAGTTAATATTAAGAATTTCACAATAACAGAAATTTAGTAGTCAGTACAAATACAAATACAATTACACAATTATTGATACTCATACGTATTAATAATTGTGATATCACTGTAATTTAAAAAAAAAAGCATTAAAACGAGGGCTTTAATCTGTACCACTGCTTCCTTTCCTCTTAGGGTCAGGTCTGTGGTCTGTGTGGAAACTATGATGGTAACAGTAAGAATGACTTCACCACACGCTCCCAGGAAATAGTAGCAGATGTTCTACAATTTGGTAACAGCTGGAAAGTTTCATCTAGTTGCCCCAGTGCAGAGCTAATCAGTGATCCCTGTGCCTCAAATCGCTACCGGGCAGCCTGGTCTCAAAAACAGTGCAGTATCATCACAAGTGTCACCTTCCAGAGCTGTCATTCAAAGGTCAGTATGTTTGGTGGTAGCAAATATACAGAAATGGATACACACACACAAAAATGCACAAAAGAATATGCACTTTAATTTCCCCTATGAGCTCTTTGTTCTTTTATCTTAATGTCTGGCATTTAGGAATCTTTACCTAATAGACACGATATGTGATATCCATCCGCCCATGCATTCTCTTCCACTTATCTATTCAAGGTCGTGGGGGGCCTGGAACCTACCCCACCTATCACCAGTTAACCTAATCCCACTAATTACATGTCTTTAGACTGTGGGAATAATCCAGAGTAGTGGGCGATAACTTAAACCTGCGTATGTCTACATAAAGGTAGTGTTGGAGCACATTGTGGTACCAACCACACCCTCAGGATTTGGGCAGAAAGTTGTGTGTTGCTATAAAAATGGTGAGAAAAGGTGTAAATCTTTCCTACAAAGAAATTAAGATGCCAAGTGTCCTTCACCTTCAAAAGGCAATCAGAAACAGGGGAAAAGTCTACTAGAACCAAAACCTCAACAGAGTCAGAAGACAAGTTTCTGAGCTAGAAGCAGAGCTTAATTGTGGTCATAGTAAGCAAGCCTCAACTTCAACTGACAGGTCAAGTTCAGAGATGGGCAGTAATGCGTTACTGTAATCTGATTACTTTTTTCAAGTAACGAGTAAAGTAAGGGATTACTATTGCAAAAACGGTAATTAGATTACCGTTACTTTCCCGTAGGAACGCTGCGTTACTGCGTTACTAAAACCGTCATTTTTTGCGAGAATGACTCACAACAGTGACGTAAGCGAGTGCGACGTTCGTGACAACAGCTGTGTGCAGATCAACAATGGATCACATATCGATTGTGGGAGAGAGTATGAGCGTGCAGCGTTTAAAGCGTGGAAGTACTGACCTTACTTTGAGTTTGATTCCATAAAAAGTGACACAAACATTAGTGTCCGCTGTGCGTGGGAAGAAAACTTCTTTTTACAGCGAAAAAACCCCTAAACTTCCAACAAGCACCGAGTAGCTACGACGTAATGGGAAACTCACAGAGAAACTCGCGGATTCTTCCACTGACCGCAGCACACCTGCACCAGGGTAACCCTCCGCCTACCTCACTCCTGCTTTACAGGTGAAAATAGAGCAACAGGACCGCTGAGTCTTTGACTTTATTTATTTTCTGCTGTGTTTTACTTGCATTTATTTTATGTGCAGAAAATAGGTTTAAATGTTAAACTAATTTCTTCCAGTCAGAGAATGTTGCAGATAATTAAATGTTTGCTTGATGCATAAAGTTAAAAGATTAAAACTAATAAAACAAGTTTTAAAAAGAGACTTTTCCATTTGATTACATTTTGTATGATGGATTATGCAGAAAAAGTAGAATTGGGCTGAAAGATCTATTTATCACCTCTTCAGGGTGTAAATCGTGTTTTTAAAAAGTAACTAAGTAACTAAGTAATTAATTACTTTTGAAAATAAGTAATCAGTAAAGTAACAGGATTACTTTTTTGGGGAAGTAATCAGTAATTAGTTACTGATTACTTTTTTCAAGTAATTGACCAACACTGGTCAAGTTGCAGCAACAGAACCAATGCTAAGATTTCAGAATAAGAAAAAGAGGTTTAAAGAGGTTTACCTGAGCTGTGAAACATTGCCAATGGACTAATGAAAAATGGAAGAAGGTGTTATGGAGTAATGAATCAAAATCAAAGTCTATGATCTTTGTACAGTATTGAGGAGGCAAAAGGACAGTTCCTCAATCTGTACCCCTGAATACATTGTGGTTAAAAATGGATTGCATGATTCTTTTTTAACTTGAATTGTTTATTTGTTCTATGCTTACAGAGTAAAAGGAATAATTGAACTGTCTGAATTTCAATAAAAAAACTGGAAGAATTGGGGTTCTGTGAAACTGACTGGTAGTGTATTACTGTATGTGTTCTAGGTTGACCCTGGTCCATATTTTGATTCCTGTGTGAGAGACTCCTGTGCTTGTGACACTGGTGGGGACTGCGAATGTCTCTGTACTGCGGTGGCTGCATATGCTAAAGCCTGTAATGAAGCTGGGACCTGCATTGCATGGAGGACTCCAAAGTTTTGTCGTGAGTCTGATTAATGTAATTCAATTAAATTCAATTCAACTTTATTTATATAGCGCCAAATCACAACAACAGTCGCCTCAAGGCGCTTTATATTGTACAGTAGATCGTACAATAATAGATACAGAGAAAAACCCAACACTCTTATGACCCCCTATGAGCAAGCACTTTGGTGACAGTGGGAAGGAAAAACATCATCAATGCTCTACAAGTCTAATAAGCAATGGTTTTGTTTCTTGCAGCTATTTTCTGTGACTACTATAATTCACCTGGTGAATGTGAGTGGCACTATAAGCCTTGTGGAGCTAATTGCATGAAAACATGTAGGAATCCATCTGGAAACTGCTCGTCACTCATCACCAACCTGGAAGGTACATTAGGCACAGTATTGATATGCCAATTTGTGGACTCTTTATTTTTGTTTTAAATGTGGAGCTTAAGTCAACAGAACAACAGACCGTATCCCTGCCTATGACACAGTGGTTCACAAGCTTTTTACATCATTCCCCACATGGCAGGAAGGAATATTTTCACGTCCCATCTAAACAAAACAATGACAGAAAAGCCTACCTGCAACTGTATTTAGATAATGAACTCATTCACAATGAATCCTTCAGTAATTTTTGTTTTAAACAAGCAACTTTCATTTCAAACAACTATTTGTAACTTTTGTCATGAGACAGCTTCCTTAGTCTACACCACTTCTTCAAAAAAGCAACAAGTTAAACAGAATGTGAACATTGCCAAACATGGAAAAATACAGTCCAGTCTTAGTCTTATAAAAAAGAAATCCAGAGACTTGTGAAAAGAGATGAAAAATATATAATTTAGTGAGGGTTCAATACTATTCACTCTTAGTGGCTGTAGTAAGCCTGTTTTTGACTGCAGAGCTGTGGCAGGGCGTGGTCTGCGGCATGGCTGCGGGGGAGGCGGATGTATATGAGCAGCAATCACACCTTGCTGGTGTTCCGGCTTAAAACAGAATGAACTAAGTCCTTTTGTGGTTGTGGTTGTTGTTGTTGTTGTTGTTGTGTGTAGGCTGTAGCTGAAAAGCTGCAGCCACGTGCGTAAGTCAACAGCTGCAATAAAGAAGTGTACTGAAAAGTGTGAACATGTCTGTCCCGCATCGTTTACCCAGGATTGGAGCATGATAGGTGAAGGAGAGGCAAATTGTGAAATGTTTACAAAAAAGCTTTGCATGTATTGTACTTGTAAATTTACTCAAGTTAACCACTATTTTAAAACATCGTAGGCTGCTATCCACAGTGTCCCCCGAACCAACCCTACTTTGATGAAGACACTATGAAGTGCGTTTCCGGGGACCAGTGTGGATGCTATGATGACCAAGGCAACCATTACAACGTTGGTGAAAAGGTTCCATCAGAGAACTGCTACACCTGGTATGTCTCACACAAGATTCATCATTCCATCCATTTTAGCACACAGTACATAATGATGCACGTAGAATTCAACATGTGGTCTTTTGATGTAAGTATATAAAATATAATACACGGTGCCATTAAAAAGTATTTGCCCACTGTCCGATTCCTTTTACTGGAGTCTTTCACATAACTTTAGAGACAAACTGTTTGTGTGAAACAAAAATCCTCTATACTCCCGGGAAGGTTCACTGCAGGTTCAAGTTTTCATTGTGTATGGATAAGGGCTGTCATAGTGGCTTTGTAACCCTTTTTAGAATTGTATATGATAAAGTTGTTTCTCAGGTAATTCTTCAGATTTTGGCCTGATGAATCGCTTTTTAAGATCATTTAACCTACTGCACTTTGACAGGGGCAAAGGACTAGGTAAATGTAAATATTTTATTACTCTATTATTTCAATGATCTGAAAAAAAGGAAGTAGAAAGAAGGCAAAAACTTTCTCATGGCACTGTATGTGAAATATACAGTTATTGAGAAGTAAATGTGATGTTTAACATGCCACAGTGAGTGTATAACCAGACACAAATGAAATAACCACAACGTTGTTTTCTTTCAAGCTTATGTACAATGTCGGGGATACAATGTAACTACAGTGTTAACTGTAAGTATACTATAAGCTTGTAAAGCTATGCTATAAATCTATTGCTTGGCAAATTGAAAAAAACATTTATTTTCAAATTTAATTTATTATATATAATATAATAAATGTATATGAATTAATTTGTATTTACAAAAAGACAAAATGTTTTACTTGTAGATTGTACATGCATCATTAATGGAAAAATGTACAACTATGGGGACAATATCTACAACACAACTGATGGCCTAGGAAACTGCATCACAGCTGAGTGTGCAGAGAATGGAATTGTAACAAGGAGCATATACCCCTGCTTTATTACCACAACAGCTGGGCCAACAACAACTCCATTTACGTTTAGTACAATACTAAACACCACTTCAGGTATTAAACTGATGATTTCTCAAAGATATAGATAGAGTATTGAGAAATATTGAGAAAATTGAATTGTATTATGGAAGTATATGCATGTTTTAATGTCATGTCATTGTATTTTGTCACAGTTATTAGTACTACATCTCCATTAAATACTACATTTGAATTTGAAACCACATCGGCAAAACTGACCAAACCAGAAATAACAGAAATTACATCTGGGCCTTTCACTACCACTGAAGGAACAGCTACAACACC